TTTTATTGCTAGAAGATTGAACAGGAATTAATTGCTTTATTTCATTAGTATTGATTGGTGTTGAACTATTAAGATAATTAATAAGATCGGTTTCATCGGTTTTTTTAGTACGACGTATTGGAATTACTGTAGGCCGATTAGTGGGCATGCGATTGGTAATTGATTGATCTAATGGTATTGATGGAGTAAATGAAGGTGTATCAGAAATAGATTCAACTTGATTTTGTTTTTTTGGTAATTGTGATGCATGCTGATGAAGAGCTGCACCTGTTTGTTGATCAACTCGATTTAAAATATCTTCAGCTTGTTTTAATAACCAAGACATTAGTCAAGAAATTTGAAGGAAAATATTTGGATAGGAATTTATGATAATGGTTAGTTACAACGCATATATAGATGACAGAGAGAACAGAACATTTTAAAAATGATTCATTCACCATGAAAACAAAAAGGTACCAATAGATCAATGTGAACGATAGATGTCCCTTTGGTGTTTTAAGAATAAGCAACTCGAATTAAAATATCTAGCAAAAATGAAACAATCTTCCTTCTCGTTTCATCGTCTATGATAGGCCAATATATCGGAAAGTCTTTAGTTATATTCAAAGTGTATATTACATTTCAAGTATATTTTCTTTCTTATCAGTTTACTTATGAAAAGACGAAGAATTTCAGGTTGAAAGATAAACTCGTATGACTATATATGATAATATTGTCGGAGCAGGAAAGATTTCCAAAACTTTAAACATATAAAGTTAGAGATTCGACGAAAATGAAAATAATGATGTGCTGCTCTATGTAGCTTGTTTGTTTGAAAACTCTTGATATAAATACAAAAAAATTTATTACCATCTATTTCGAAATTTAATGTGGTCCACTGTTTTTTGAATATCTTTTGATAGGAACATCATAGAGAAACCTACGGTTTTCACCACTCAAGAAAGAAAATCCAATATTTTCAAGGTATTTTCGTTCCACTTTAGACTTTTAATAGAACTAATCGATAGGAAAAGTTCTTCTTTTTCAATCAACACATAGCCGACATTTCTAGCTTTTTCCTTTCAATAGTTATAAGACTTTGCTTAAAATCTTCGATTTCAACAAATTGACTTGTGATCACTCAGAAAAGTGGCTACATAGAAGTAATTCACCATTCTAAATCGAATGGTGATATTTGTTTTTAGGCTCGATTTGATCTAATATTGTTATCTCTATACTTCTGAAATGTGGGTGTGGATGAAGAGACCATGCACATTTATCCAAACCCCCATCCACTCTCCGTTTGGAAGCCTATAATGAGTCGTCTTCCCATATAAATTTCTATTGATAAAGGATTAAATATCCTTATGACATTTTAATTAGTCCATTATGATTATGTTATAAATACAAAAAAAAAAAAGATGAAATATAATTAATTTCTTTTTTTTCATAAACCGAGCTATTTCATTTGGTTGGTGTTGATGAAGTTTAAAAAATATGAGTTCGTTGGATTATGTTCTTGTTCTTCATTATTATGACCATTGTCGTCTTCGGATTTCAATTGATGATATATTAATAAACATAAACGTACTAATTTATTGTCACATTCATCAATGGTCAAAGTAATATCAACACTTGACTCATCATAAGAACTCTATCACAATTATCAAAATTTGAATTTTCATCGTTACAAAGAAGTGCACGATGTTGTTCTTTTAAATTTTATATAATCGCTAAATGCATATTACTGCTGATAGAAATAAAGTTGAATATTAATCATTCTCTTCTCTCTGTACCATTTATAGCTATATAGTTTTTTTCTTATCCCGACAAAAAAATATTTCCGTTATGCATTGATAATAAGTGTATATGGACTCACATTTTTGTGAACTCAAACTTGACAGATACAGACTGATACTTGGTTTGATTCAGAGCCGAGCCTATTTTTCATCAATATCTGACACTGTGTACATGAACAATTGAAGAATCAAGGTTTTACTTATTTATTGGCTGCTCTCAGGAAAAAGTCAATGTGACATTTATTTGATGTTATTCGTTTTCTCTTAGTTAGAAGATGATAGAGCATAATGTGAAACAAAACTGAAATTGAACAGTTAATTGATAAACAGAAATCATCAAAACGACAATCACACCAAAATCTTCAGCCGTATAAAATAGTTTTAGTGGTATTTATGTAACCGATATCAAGCAAGAATATGTTATATGCAACCCAAGGAGCTGTGGGTTCACATTTCTGTACACTGGGATCTGAGAAAAACTAAATTTTAGAACTTTGACTCTGATCCGAGAATAAATAAAAGTTCGAACTCGGGCTCGAGTCTTGAAGGATCCACAGCTCCTTAATAGAGAAGCTATTGCTTTGTCTTCTGTTCTTCTGTAATTTGTATTGTTCAATAAACACGATTCAGCAATACTTAAACGAAAAGAAATGGTTAAAAGAGATTTAAATAAAGATTTTTTTAAAAATATATTTGTCAGTGTTCAGTTAGTTGAAATATACCGGATTCAGTTCAAAGCAATGTTTTCTTCTAATTTTTAAATGAGAATATAAATGAAAAATGTCAATGTAAGTTTTCAATTTAATACGAACATGTGTATATCGTTGTTTTATATAATTGGTTAGTAAAAATTTTTAATTGATCATTTGAAATACTTTAAAAAAAACAGTAGTAAATAATACATCTTCCGATGAATGATTAATACATAAGAAATTGATAATACTCGTTGAATTCTGGAAAATCAAAGTCTGTATTTAAAAATAATAAATAATAAAAGTAAATAAGATTTTAACATTTAATGAATAAAATCTTTGTCTAGTTGTTTGATTGTCATATGATTTTTATTAAAGTGACAATAATTACAATGATGAAAAGGTCTGGATGGATGTGCATTGGTCTCTTCACTCACATATCTCGAATTGCATCAAACCACCTTTTGACATTGTAAAGAACTTTAGAAAGTTGTTTAGAGTCACGAGATGGCATCATGACAGATATCTAGAAAATCCCAGTAGTGTTTTGAATGACTTTACTTTTCAATGAAAAAGAGAAACCATCCCAGAAATTCTTTAAATCATGCACAGACCAACTCGGTTTTTTATGTCGATTCTGAATATCATATTAGTTATGACTCAACTGAAACTTTTTTGATCGAAATATTGATAAAAAAAAAAAGACACGAAACTGCTCCTGGACAAAGATGTTCTAAGGAATTTTTCAAGTGGTCAGACCTTTTTGACTTCGGACAATATATGATTTTATAGCTTTTTAAAATACCTATCAAACAAGCAATTACCAAAGGTTTGATCATTTCGATTTTCAGATTACAATATTTGCTGAAAGATAAGAGTCGATGATAAATACATTAAAAATGTCAATAGTGTCTATATTACGCTAAGTTAAACGATCTATCAGTGGTTTACATATATGGAACTGTAGTATCATCAAAGAGCTATGAAATTCATAATTTCAATAATATTTTATCTTGTCTGTGTGTATTCTCAAATTGAATCTACGGTGATAGGAAGGATTATTAGAATAATGATCCGAAATGCGTTTCTTTCCCAACAATATATATAGTTCAATGAAGTTGGCTAGGAAAATACTAGTAAGCCGATTCGATCTCTTATGTCTTTCACTCCATTTTGTGTAACACTTGAACTCCAGTTCAAAAACATACGTTAATTCACCTTCATTGTATTTCACATATTGATTTGCACATCGATTCTGTTATTAAGCCAACAATTTAACATTCAAAGTTTGAGTCTATGACGATTGTATGTAAGACATTTGTGTGCAGAGAATTGTATGAAATATGAGGATGGATGTGAGTGTGGGATGCGGATGTGGGTTTTGGATGTGTGGCATGACGTTTGGATGTGGGATATGGGTGTTAGTCTGCACTCTAAAAAATAGGTTTATTACGAAACCTGTGTCCAGAGGAACAATCTTTGAGGTTTCGTATGAATCTACCGAACCTAAACAAGAGTCGAATATTTTTGCAAAAGCATTTTAAAGTTTGGTAGATTCATACGAAACCTCAAAGGTTCTTCCCCTGAACACAGGTTCCGTAATAAACCTATTTTTTAGAGTGTGGGATATGGGCGTGAGTCTGGGGTATAGGTGTGGATAATAAAAAGATGAAGAACCCACATCTCCACTCACATACCGGCACCCATTCATGCCCACACCACATCCACACCCCGCACCTCACACCACACCCACATCTATCCACACCATTCAAATTCACCCTCATTTTGCACACAATAGTCGTGCTTCCTCAAAGTTTCGGTAAAAAATTGAAACTAAACAAAAATATTTTCTATCTTTACGTCATTGACATTCATCTTTGAAAACAACGTATCAGCTGAAAACAATCATAAATTTTAAGTTCAACAAAATGCACATATACTGCGTTAGAAAAACTAAGTCTATGAAAATTGGAATTCATGAGTATAATAAAAACTACTATTTTTCGGAATATCAATGTTTTTTCCTTAGTTTGAACTCTCTCTTCTTTGTATTGACGTTTCTTTGATAGTATCATTGGTTAGTATCTAAAAAGATGATAATCATTGAATAGATTTAATAATAGAATGTAAAACTATAGTACCATTAAAAAGGTTTGAAGTTCAATTTGTTCCGAGTTTAATGGTTGCAACAATATTGTGTCTTCAAAATTTTCGCGTTGTACTTCACCAGCTGATGTTTCGTTATGACTTGTAGTGTTGCTCTATAAAGATGATCGAATTAAAGGCAAAAAATTATTATAAATATTCTTACCGAATTTTGATGCTTCATTGATTTGTTTTTAACATAACGCACCCGTCTAAATATTATATACACGTAAGAAAGTTTCTATGACAATTAAAAACCAAAAATCGTTTAATTCTTACGCTTTAATTATAATAAAAACAATAAAACTCAATATTATAGTGCTAAGAATAATTAAATATATAAGCCAATCTAAAATGAAAAATAAAGACATATAAACGTCATAGTCTAAAATAAAATACTCGATGACTTTTTGGTTTGTTCTCTTATGCATAGTGTTTCACTGATTGTCTTGACAGATGCATTTCGACGACACTGAAAACATAACTGGTACCACGTATTTGGTGTCAAATTGGTTATACTAATAGTAGTTTGATAAGTTTCATCAAAAGTTCTTGAATTTTCTTCCTTTATAAAAAGAACAGTGAAAATTCAAAATAAAAATTTGTCTATATTTATACTTGATTTAAACTTGTAGAATTGTTATCTCTTGATATATTTCCATGACACATTAAAGGTGATGAAAAAGTACTATGATCAAAATGAATTTGAAAATTAGTTGATGATAAAACTTGAACTGTAAAATTTGCTTTTATCAAAAAACCTATTAAAATTTATATATACATTGATTCAAAAAGAAATAGAATTTCTTTTTCTTACTTGGTGTCATACCCATTAAATAATCAGTCGAATCAAAGTATTGTGATGTTTCACGTATAAGCATTTGTAATCCCTCTGGAAAAACGCCATCATTCATTGGAAACCATCGAAATGTTAAAGTGTTATTTATTTTATCGATTTTGACTAATTCAGGTAGTTGATTATAAGCATTCTCTTTTGAACTAAAACAGATTGAAAAAAATACATAATACCATTATATCAAACATATCTACGAACGATTGGTGAATTTCTATAAAATTAAAATCATATTGATAATGATTATCAATAGCAGATACTATTTTCGGTGCACGAATGTTACACTCAATGTATTTATTTTCATATACAATACAGCGTCCTATACGTGTAAGTAGACCAGGTGAAACTGAAACATATGAAAAAAAAGTGTATTTTAATGAAGACGTCATATTTAATTTTACGTACTACCAATGATAATATCTGATCGAACACCGACCGTTTTATTGTTTATTGGAGAACAAATTAGTTGAAAAGTACCAATATAACCTGATGATTCAATAATAATTTTCATAGCTGTATTATTAAGATGATTTTTATATATTTTTAAATTATCTGAAGAAATTGCTGGTACTAAACTAATATCGAAATCAATATTATCATCTTTGTATTTGGTGCATAGGAATTTTATTTTACTTGTTGAATTTAATATCGCAAAACTTGGTTCTATTGAAAAATAAATTTTAAAAATATATTATTATTAGTAATTAATCATACTTAAATCAAAATTTGAAAATTTCTTTTCATCGGGACTATTATTTGATTTACACAATGTGAATAATAATAACATAAACATTAATATTTTCATTGTAAATATATGTGCCAAATTTTGTACAACCATTTTAAAAAAGAAAGAAAGAAAGAAAGAAAGAAAGAATGTATTCGTTCAAGTATGTCTCTCCATAACCACAGTATTGGCTACCTTACCCTTTTTAAAGTCAGTGCAGTAAAGAAGTATGAATGGCAATTGTAAGATATTAACAAGTATGAAAATATTTATTTAAATAGCTTATTCATATAACTATTATGCGATAAAAAAAAAGAACGCAATTCTTTCTTCCAGTTGAGTAAGTAAGAAATAAAACCACAAAACAGTAAACGTGCTTAATTTACTCTTAATTTCTATGCATATTAAAAGAAGTATCATAATGAATTACAAAGTTTATAAATAACACTCTCTTCTTTCAATTAAGAAAGTATCCATATTTTTCTTGAACAAGAAATCTTACGACTATTATTTATTTTCTTTGAATATCAAGGAATGTATTATGCAATAGTGCATCCATTGATCATCATAGAATCAAATCTATTATATAGATGCCTGTGTGCAAAGGTTTTTTTTATGTAAATAGAAAGAAATCATGACGTTGGTGTCCGTTCTTTACATAGAGCAAACAGAGTTTTTAAAGAAATGAATTTTATTCAATGAATGTACGAAACTTCAACAAATATTTTTACATTGATTATGATAATACTCAGTATTAATCCGAGATAACTATTCTTCTAGATGATTGACTCAAGCATAAATATATTTCCAAGTTTAAGTACACTATAAAATGTGGAATAAAAATGATTTTACATTATTGTAAGTCTCCGAGTACGAATAACATATAAAAGGAGGTGTATATCTCGATGAACGATTGTATACGTTTTTTTCCTTGCCAAGTTCTTTCATTAGATCTAGATCAGAGATCTTCGCTGGGATAGGAATTCATGGAGAACTCATGGAAGAAGAACAAAATTCAAGGTGGTATGACATATTACTTCAACACCTTCATCCTTGGTCTTTAAATTTTGCTCAATTCACTTTCTACCAATGGCCTTGACCATAATGTGATTATTTTCCTTACCTTACAGTCTAAACCGAATTTTTTTCTCTGGAATTCATGATTCGACTGAATTGCTGAAGTTTTTGTATCGTGTTATTAATGATAGAGTTGGTTCTACGCTCTGACGTAGACACACATTTTCATGTTGATCTCCATTTTTCTTTTCCGTTGTTCTTCTTTCCTCCAAGTAATAACAGAAAGAGATTTCGTCATTGTGTTTCCTTTCTGTATTATCATCGGTATTTTGATCCGTTTCTTTCACTTCTCGTCCGCCATACAAGCTTCTATTTATCGTTTACGTTCATATTCTCTTCAAAGATCTAATTTTTACTTCCTAAAAATACACATGAATACTTACCAAGTTATGTAGTGACGTTCAGTTCTTGATCAAATATTTTTAGTAATGTTGTCGAATGAGCCTTATTCACATATCACTTTTTGGCCACGAACATAGAGAAAAAATGGCCACACGTTTATGCAATTGTTGCTNCCAGGGGGCTTCTAATATTTCAAAATCGCAGCATCATTGTTAGATGAATCCGCGAAGAATGGACCCAACACGCTGAGAATATATCCGTGCTATTTGGAATAACGTGATAGTCTTTGAATATGATTTCGTGTCATTGGTATGCTGCGATAATAGGATTTTTTCTAGACCTCATCTCATCTGTCCTTTTCTTTTCCTCACAACGAACATTATACATGTTGCATCATGAGGTAAATCTCTTTTGTCGAGTTGATTAATAGCTGTAGTAAAAAACAATCAGTTTTTTACGTAACTCTTTTAAAGTTGAGTAGCAGCTGCGAAATCTAAAATGGTTTTTCTCGTAGATACATGGCCGAAGCCTTTGTCACAAAACCTATTTCAGTTCTGTGAAACACAAAAATGTTCAACGTCAGAAGGACGAAATCATTCCGGTTCGATACAAATCTTTCAGAATTGAGTGCGGAATGTTACAAGTTTTGTACTAAATCCTGAATGAGCCATTCCGAACTCGAATGGTTCGGCACTTATGGTGTTGAACTGTTTTGCACTCGGCGAGACTGAATTTGGTTTCGCTTCAGCCGTGCGTCCTTGGGAAAAAACCATTTCAGATTTCACAGTTGCTAGCGAACTTAAAAAAGGTTCAGTAAGAAAGCTTGTTAGCGCAGCTCCTTTGGAGCTGAAATGTGGAACTCACATATATCCTTAAACCTCAATATTCTAATAGATCATATGTAAACTGAAAAATTTCGTGTACATTGTAGTTGTTTTCATTGATAATCAATGACAAGAGCGAGACTTTGTTATATATTTCTACATTTAAAACAGAAAATGTTTTTGTTTAAGAGCGCCCTATTTTTATTTTGCATTGTTGCTATTCGCTCATTATCTTTCATTTCTTTTTTAATCGTTTTTCTTAATTTAACATTCTTATTATTATAATCATTGAATTAATTGGCAAATATGTCTATTTTACATATCCATTATATCTACAGCAGATCTTATTCACTATTATATATATTAATCAACTCACAAACAATGATGTTGATCATCTTTCAAAATTATAACTTGATCGATTTTTCAAAAAAACTAGAAAGTCTGACGTCTGTTATTCTTAATTGCTAAGGTCTGTAATAGGGAGCCTGTCTGTAATTGGGGCCTACGTTGCTATGTGTCTGTAATGGAGGGTATGTCTTTAATGTTCTCTTTCTCCGTTACTATGTGTCTGTAAGGGGAGGGGGAGATGAGGTGAGCCGCGAAAACTTAACCTTAAAACTTACACTCACTATTTTCTTCGAAAATATATGTGAGTTCCACAAAACTGATTTTTTAAAATGTAACCTATCCACATTTTCTGTTACTGTTCAATCTATCTTTTTTTGTAATTTTGAATTTCTCGCTATACTCACGCTTGTGGTGATGATCATCGGTTTAAAGAGGTGTCGATGTTTATGATTACTGTACGTGCGCCTTTGAAGTTCGTTGTTAGACGACTTTTAACAATAGATATAGGTTCCATCAGCGATGAGAACAATTTGATTGGGATCTAGTGTTAGCAACTCTGTTGTAATCACTGATTGATGATGAGCGAGAACTGTGTTTCGATCCATATGCTGAAAGCCGAGGTATTTTGGTACAAAATCTGTGGTAAGTGCCGTTCGCATTTGATGACAAATGCGAGAAACAGTCCTCTTGCATCTAAGCCAAAACAGACAGGCGAGAACTGTATTGCTAAGTCCGAGACGTAATTTTGCAAGAAATACGGCAAGTGTCACTCGAACGGAACGAATACGAGTGTTACGTATTGTAGTCAATTGATCGACCAAATCATTGAAATTATCTGGTATATACAAAAATAGCCTAAGGTAGCGGATAAAGACAATATAAAATACAATACCACGACTAAGGCCAGTCATGGCTTTGTAATCGTGATCATCAAGACTTGATGGATTGTCAAAATCGAATGAACTGACACGATTTACAGCCGACTGACAATCTGCAAACAGCTTGTCTACATCAGCATCACTGAGGAATAATTGATCAAGCTGAGATGGTTGAATCCGTTTCAGAGTTTCATATATTAATTCTCCTCTGTAAAGGTGATCAGAACAGCAGCGACTGCTCTCTGGAACAAAAATGCCTCGCTTAAGGAAAGCCATGGTGCGTTGCTCATTGGATAGCATTTTCATAGACTTTGAATCAGTCGTCGTACAAGCAAGACAAGAGCTGAACATATAGTTTAACGTATAACTTCAACAGCAGAAAGCAATCTATCTATGAGCTTTTGAGGTGCACCAAACGGATAACTTCACCGATCCAGTTTTATTTTTATCATCTTCTTCGTCTGATTCGTTCTCATGCTCCGCTATAGCTGGAGCCGCAGCAGCAACAACATCTATCTCCATCGCCTTCAAAACAATGGAAAATCTCTATAGAGTGAAGAAAAACGCTTACTGTTGATTCTTCATCTTGATTCTTAGAATCGTTTTCTAATGATAAATCCAACTGGTCGAAATCACCGCTCATTAACCGATGCCACCAATCGTACTTATTCCGACAAGATTTCCAAAGATAATCTCCTATTTTCACACGCCTTTCGGTCTTAACTGCCACATACACTCGCAAGAGAAGTGACATGACCGCTGAGTACTTACGATCACCTTCACGAATCCGATTTTTTCGCACACACAGCATTGAACTTTTCCTGCATGAGGCATAATAAAATACGTATTCTCAAAGAATATAACACTGTTATAGATATGAGGCCCTTTTTTTCAATTTAACAGCCAAACGTTCTTATAACTAGCTCTGATAAAATAATAATGACGCTATGTGTTTAGTATTGCTCTTAATCGTGTGTTGTTCGCACTTTCACGGTTAATATGCGTTCCTGCTGGTATACAGCTTCATCGGTTTTTTTCTCTTTTCTTCCCTATGATTCTCACGGGTTCTTTGAGTATCCATTTTTTGATGATAGAGAAGAAAAACAATAACCAAGATTTCTCAATTTGTATCTGACAGACTACATCTACACTATGTTTTCTTTTGCACCCTGTTTTTCTCTGCATGCATGATCACCAAGCATAGTATTAAATTCATTCAGAGAGTATCAATAGTAGATTGATATCAGATATAACTATGATTCATAAGCTCCTTCTTCACGAATTTCAATGGACAGTGTGTGAATGCGACAATATTTAAATGAATGTCTTGAGAAAAATCGTATGGCTTTTTTAACCGAAATAAGTAAGATTTAGATTAACTTGATCACCACTAGAGCAATGGATACAATAGTCTTCATACAATTATCTAACATAATTAAAATAATCTAGATGTCAATGATAATATGAATCTCGTATAACAATTGACGTCGCATCTGACTTTTGCAAAAAAATAACAAGAACAAGAAATGGTATCACTCTTCATACAGATTTACAAAAACAATATGTACCTATTTGCTTATAGTGCTTCTATTTTTCAGATTCCAAAAATATTAGATTTTTATACTTGGCAGAAAAGGCCATCTAACAAGTTATAAAAGAGTTGACTTAAAAAAGGTTTTTGAAGGGACGGTAAATCAAACATGTTATACTATATGTAAAAATGGATATAGTTTTTACTTTGTGGTCTTGAACTTTTTGATGGGCCCACTTTTTATAATTTTATAAACTATACGATTTTGTAGCCCGTGAAAAGAGCTATCCGATGAGGTATAATTGAAACTGACTTTCTTGAATTTATATAGAGGAAACTAATCTGAAAGGCTATAATGTCATTACTATGTATTCATAATAAAGTCATTCGAAATGATAAAGGAGGAAGTCCTCAAATATATTGGAAAGTACTCGCCTGTTGAAGCTCTTTCATTCTATATATGATCGTGTTGGATATCGTGTGAAAAGTTCGATGGGCCAAATTACGGTCTTATGCGCCCCTGTCCTTTAATGCTTCTCTATGTTAACGGACGATAAATATAATATCAGTATGATTGAAACTAATAGTCGATCAAGATAGTGACCAAATTAACGAACATTGATAAGTTAATTAGCCTTTTGTTTTATTTTGGAAAAGTTGTAATGTTTTAAAGATGATAAACAAGATGATGGAAAACATTTCGGGATGGTATTGTTGTCGATTTTCATTCATAATAACAGTTATAAACTTGAAACATTGTAGTTATTTAGTATCAAATAATTAGACTAACATGACAAAGTTTCAAAGAGTTGACTTTTGTTGAATGCGAGCACGATGTATTTTAAAATTGTTTCAGAACTTCTTGGACATCCGTTATACTACAGATTGTTCTGAACTTATAATAAAAAATGTATGCGAGCTTAGTAACTAAGATTCTTAATAATTTTTAAAATACTTTTCATCATTATTTATTCATAATAGTCTCATTGTAAACTATCTTTCGATTTAGAGATGACTTGTTGTCCACTTTTTGAGTCATAATCCAAACAAACGCAAAGTAATAGAACCTTTTTATTATTCAGCCTGCTCAATGATAAGATCCAATATTTAATCATAACTCAATGCGATACTTGATTCTCGGAAAAGTACATTCCAAGTTGCCTAGAAAATAAAGAGTGAGTATGATTTAATTAATATTTTAGATAAAACAAAAAAATGACACATAATGGTGTGCCTTACGTACTCATTATTTAGTACAACAAATCATAAACATGTTCATTTCATCAGTATAGTGGCGTGCAACGACTACAAATAAAAACCAATTGTTGATGATTTGTTTAAGATCACAGAAAGTGTTCATATTGTATCAAGAGCATTTTATATCAACTCAAAATGAATTAAATATTCTTGTCAATTCTTTGTAACTTCTTATTCACTTTGTATCATCTGTATTTTTATATCTAATCATATTATCCTAATTACTAGTAGTACTTTAAACATCAAATTTCAATTCTATTATCTATCTAGCTTCAATGTTCTGTCACTATGAAAACAGGAAACAAGGTAATCTTTTACTTGACGGTGAATGCCTATGAAATAGCTCGACTTATTTCATGAACAACGTACTGTATGTTGAATGAAAGCACTCTAGATTCTTTTAAATCGAAATAAATGATATACCATGCATGTTGTACCTGTGAGTTGCTAAAATGAAAAACGCAACGGTGAATGTAGAATTTCGACAGAAAGGATACTTTTCGAGGAAGGGGCTTTCACTGAAAAAAAAAGAATGTTTTTTGAGAAAAATACAACCGCCTCTTTGCCTCACTCCTCATCCTTAATCTGTCACTGGAAAAAGTTCAGAAAAAAGCAAAATATTTGCGATCCAGCCAATCAAAAATGTGTAAAACAGTATTAAAAGACTATAATCATGGCATAGAACAAAACAAATTACGTAGGATTGAGGATAAAGTCAAGCAGGTGTTGTAATCGTGTCATTTTTTAACAACTGCAACTTAATCGATGCAAAATAGTTCTAAAAAAAACTTTTTTGGTATTTTTTGTCAAACATTGATACTTCTTGACTAATTTTTTGTGAATCATCAAAGCATAAAACAGTAGTTTGTATTTGCAACATTTCTGACCAATCCTATTTCTGCATCTATGAATTTCTTGTGCCTCTAACATAGCGTTCATGTATTCACTTAATTCGTTGAATTCCTTGAAAGCGTTAGTAAATACAGGTATGAATATAACTATCGTATTATAACGTCCTCTTAACACGTCTATGCATTAAAATAATTGATTAAACCTATAAAATATAGCATTGGCACTAGTAATCGAATGTTTTAAAGTCTTGGCGAGTACTAACGAAAGGTTCTTTTCTTTTTTCTAAATATCGTTCGATTGACATTTTGGCTTGCTAAAATTCTGTGCATGGTATGGCCGAAAGTGTCTTTAGGTTATGTGAATAGAGACATAAGGTTTTTTATGAGGAGAATAACCAAAAAATGTGCTCGCTCTTCAAGGATAGCATACCTTGCTTATCAAGAGAAAAGATATTAAAACATGCACGCGACTTTATGAGCGTTAAAATATGATAACAAATTTTTTATCACAAATTTCGACGCATACAATGTTGGAAAAAGACATATTTAAGAACTCCATGAAAACTCACGACCGATAAAGACTTCAATAATTACTATTATTCTTTTTCTGGCAGTGACTTTCCTTGTAACCCACACACATTTACCAGGAGACATAGTCAAGAAGAGATATCCTTGGCGTTATCAATTCTACTTTTCATTTTATTTTTTCATCTATAAAAAAAGATGAAGAATATATGATTGAATTAACGAATAGATCTACTTTTGTCACACATTTGTTTTACGATTACCCTAAAGAAAAACACATCTTCCACGATTTTGAATGAGATGTTTTTTTTTCAGTATTTTTGAATTCTGAATACTTCAATGTTTAAATTCTTATTTAATTGTCTTTTCTAGGTCAATCAACAGCTATAAAAGAAAATTAAAAGGCTTCTTCTAATACTTCTAACATGACTGAAGAAAGTAATCAATCGAAAAATGAACATATTAATAAAACAGTAAAAAAGGATGTTGATAAAGTGGTTGATAAATATGACATTCAAGATATTGCTGGTCAATGTAATGCATCGCAAAATAAGACTATATCTTATTGTCGATGTTGGAAATCAAAAAAAGTATGTTCATGCAATAACAAAAAAATGATTATTCGTTTCTTCAAGATAAATCTATCAGATAGAGTTTATCATTCACTTTACAAAATTATAGAAGCTATTTGAAGATATAAACAAACTAGTTTTCTCCTCTCTATAAATGAGATTTCAACAGTTTTGTGATCATAAGCATCTTTATTAATTTTGTTTGTGGCTAGATATTCTTCACATGGTCATAGTTCTTTTGTTTTGTATTCATTTTTTAGTTTCCATTATGCGATGGTTCACACAATACGTGGAATAAAGAAACAGGAGACAACATAGGTCCACTTGTTATTACAAATAACAATGAACCAAATAAACAATAAATTTGTCGTGAAGAAAAATATCGCTCTTTCTAAACTAACTGCTGTGGTAAATTATTTGTGGTGCTTACTATGTCTTACTAAATAATAAATTAGTCATACATTGATTCTATTATTTCTTGTGTAAATTTAAATAATTATTTCATTCGTTTTCTGCATCAATCTCTATTTAATTTTCACTCATTATTCGTAGATTTTGTTTTGATGTAATAATTTGTTGTTAGCATTTCCATCTAGTTTTTCTTGAATACACACAAATATAATTTTGATTCTTACAAAACTTATACTATTGACAATGAATATCAAATCATACATGTCTATGTCTGATTTTCTGACATTGACTTGGATATGCTCTTCTTTCACTAGTATCCAAATTAATAAATAGAAAAAAAAAGAGATGACTTGTCAAGCTACAATCGTGAAAAATATCAGACTGATAAAAGAAATTATTTAAACAAACAATTAGTTTTGAAATCTATAAAATACCGTTTGTGCAATGAATTCGGATTGCAATAACTCAAATTCATATACATAAATCAAATATTGTCTTGCCATGAAACCTTCAATCCAATGTTCGAACGATTTTTATTACAAACATCTCAATTACCTGGAATATGATTTTCGAAAACTAAACATTTTTGTCTTCAGTAACGATATTAGGCTTGTGTGCTTTTTAATTGAAAATTAAAAAGTTTGTTCTATGAACGACGAAAAGATATAAGATGGGCATGAGTGTAAGTGTTGAGTATGTGTGTGTATGTGAATAAACCAATCTGTTACTCTCAACTTTTAATTTTTCAGCAATCGGTCTTTGTTGAAGTAATTCGAAATGAAATTGATATGCTTATATATATATATATATACGATAAATAATGAAGATAAATCTAGAGTTCATTTCGCCGACGCATTTCGTGCTATTTATTTTTATATAAATACTCACCAGGGCTCTACATTAGAATTTTAAGCACAAAAATACAAAGTAAAACATAGAAATTAAAAAAGATAGGTAAAGAACAACAAAAAAAGAAACATCACCAACAAGATGTGTCTATTCATAATCTTATCGGAGTCACATATAATTGTTCTTCATTAATTAAGGACATACTTAGTATCATGTAGATAATGTTGACATAATTTCATTGATGAGTGAATCTGCGAAATATTTTTGCCTTAATAGATGAAATCTAGCTGGCAATGTTATCATGTTCGAACAATAAATGCAATGAATAAACATTATCTTTCCACGGTCAACTCTAGACTTGTCTTGTTGTGGAAAGCCCATCACTTTTTCACGTAACTGATTACAATTCTGAGCAGTAAGATATTGATGAATGTCAAATTTTGATAGTATACATTTTAAAATATTCATTGATCCTGCCGCCAGAATATTTTTTTAAAAGAATAAATTCTTCCGATGTGATTCTCTTTCATTTGTATATATGTTTTAAACATCGAACAATATCTAACTGCATGTATGAACATAGTAAACACAATATTTTTAATTTATGTGCATTGTATGGATGCTATTGAATGGCAAATAAGAAGATTCGTGAAATAGTTTGTGATAAACATTAGTAAAAAGTTGACCATCTGTATTCTTGATATATAAGTCAAGAAAATCGTTAGTTCAACTAATATTCATTGACCATTGCATACTTAAATCAACTATATTCTCTCGATCGACTTGCTAGAATAGATGTCGAAAAATCAATTAATTGCAAGAAAAATATCTTTAATATAATCCACAATTATTATTTACTTGATTCATTAAGTTTCTTACATAATGCTATATGTAGCAACTGGCAACGGTAAGAGTTAATGGTCAACTCATAGCTCTGTCACGGGATGGATCATAACATGTTGAATTCCTATTTTCGAGAAATTCAAATAAATTAGAATCTGGGTTTATGTCTTTTCTTCACTGACATTCACACTATCACATCCTGAAACATACAATTGGACAATATTTTTTAGTTAGGAATCATTAGAATTCTGACAAAATTCTGATCTGAAAGCAACGGAAAATTGCTCATGATCCTTCTAAGATCTTGCTCTAAATATCGCGAAAAACTTTGATTAAGGTTTCTTGGGTACACACTTTTTTTTCAGGATTTTGTTGTTTCTTCAGGAAAAACACGGTGAATTCGTAGAGGATACTTATCGGACCTAGCTCGAAAACATGAAAGACTTTTGCTAGAGAAAGAAGCGGAGAGGTCTATTTTAAGGAAATGGTTGACTTTTATAAAGCTTAAGTAAATCGTAAGAGATAAGTATGCACCAAACGAAAAAATTGAACTTGAGATTTTTGACAAATCACTTACAGATTCTGATTGCTCGACCTCTACAATATTTAGTAAAGTTCTCTTTTAAAAAATATCGTTATTTTTCAATAATAGTCATCCGTTTATTGAAATTAAATCTAAGGCCACATTAGATTAGGAATCATTGACACTTGTCGCAAGAAATCGACGATTTTGCCGAGTGGTCAATCATCATAGAACACTAGAACTACTTCTTCGAATTACACATATTGTCTCATCCATGCAGTGCTGTACTAGCCAATCTGTACAGAGAACAAGCAGAAAAGATGATTTCGAGTAATTCCAATCGTTGTGACCATCGAAGAAGGAAAACTAAGTTAACGTTACGTTGCCAAGTAACAGATATCAAGCAAATTCTTCAATTTAATTCTTTCGTCAGGAAATATCTATTCGAGAAAAATCATGATTTTTTTTTATAAAGTTTGATCAAAGTTGGTCGGAATCAAGAAATGAGAATTCTTAATCGATTTCTCAGTCAAGTGTCTTAGAATAGGCTTGGTCGCATCGAGAAGTCAATTATATAAATTCGAATTTCTCGATTCTGAAATTCTATAAATAAACTGAGTAACTGGTAACGTAACGGTATATTTCTAGACCCTAAAATTGACTATTGCTATTTGGTAGAATGATGTTCTGCATCACTCAAACGAAAACAACATATGACTTGAGATGTCATCAGGGAATCGTCTAAGGAAAAACAGCTATTTTCAATAACTTTTATTGATCCCGAGTGATTCCAATGACTCTATGTGGTTCTCATCCTACAGAATCAGCTTTTCCTCCCTAGACATAGGATGTGTATAATTTGAAGGAAGAATTTAATCAATTAATGTAAATGTTCCGTCCCCAGTTAAATACCACCCACTTGTCATCTACTATCAACAGTATTAGAAAAATGACAGTTCTACTCATGAGAGACGCTGATCATAGACTTGAAATAACTCAGTAGTTCTTAAGAATAGATTTGATGTACCTTTCGAATACGATGAAATATTAAACTTTCACCTTTATTATTCTTGCGTTTCGGTTATTGATATTAGTATAATTCATGCTACTACTGTGCTTATGATTAAGATGGAACAGTAATCTTAATGCTAAAAATTCATGTCTTATATAATTATATTTATTAAGGAAACAAACCACAAATGATTAGTACAGAGAAAAACAAACGTTATTCAAATATGTCGATTACATGTTATATAATTAAAAGAATGATTATAACAAAAAGCAATTTCTTTTAATTTTTTTTCTTTAATCATGACAATATCAATATATTCAGATGTTAATTGTGAATTTATATTGAGTAAACTTTTCTGAATACTTTCACGTTTCGAAATTGTTGAATTATTTAAAATTTCATTTGTATTTTTAGGTAAATGTATTTTTGAATAGAGACTATTGATTTGTTCAAAATAATCTTCAGGTTTTTGCCAATAACATGTACCATGTTTTTCCCATTCAGCTTGCATTAAAATTTCTGAAGGCATCATACAAAAATATTTTCGAATAATATCAATAGGTATTGGTTTTTCATTACGACAATTTCTTGGATGTGAATGAACTGAATGTAAACTATTATTTTTTTTCATTGTACTTGGCCATAAACCATGAACAATAAAACCAAATGAGTGTTGACATTGAAATGATTTTTTAGCATGTTTTTGTTCATTACAATATGTTGGTGACCATGAAATACTTAAACGAAAATAATCTATTGAACTATTTGTATTGCGATATTCATGAGATTTTTTTGTATAATCAAAATCATAATCAGTTGCGTATTGTTGTGGTCGAGGACATGAATCATTATCAATTACTTTACGTTCACGACGATGAACTAAATAGTAAATTGCACCTATGATAAGGAGTAATATAAAGCCAATACCAACAGCAATTATCAAATAACGTATGCGATTATTCGTCATCTTCTTTGTTAATGATTAAAGTATTGAAGAATATTGTTTATGCTATATACTAAAGAAGAACATATATTGTTTATATCTTCGTCTATGGTATTATCTAATCTTCTTAATTCGTCTACTCATGCATACATCAAGCAATAAGAAAGGCAGAAATCATTTTTATAGGATTTATTTTAACAAGCAGAATATTGATTAAAATTCATTGTCAATGTGCAATAGTTTTGATTTTTGATGAAAATCATTTAGAATTCATATCAAATAGATGTAAGATCATTCCTTTCCCTACATAGAATAAAAACTCATCTTATCCGAAACAGCAAAAAATAACAATAAAAATCGTTGAATAGATTAGTTCATCGTTTTTCGTTGTAACTTCTTTGATGTATCTAATGTCATTAGTTCTACAGGTATTCTATGAATGAGCAAACAATTTCTCTTTCATGAGCTGAAAGACGTATACCCATGAACATTATTGTGAGACAGATATTCAGGAACTGGTGAACACGAAATAGGTATGCTTTAATATCATTCTATTGAGCTTCTCTCTGTTTAGGAATTATATCGAGTGTAGCAATGAGATGATGTTTAAATTGACAGAAATATGAATAAATCTTTAACTAAAAAATATGACATCTCACAAAATTGAATGATGGTCAGTTGAAATTATACGAAACTTTTTCAGACTCTAAAAACAAGTGCCAGAATCGAATGAGAAAAGATTTACTTGATACTTCTTTCAAGATAATTGAAATGTACGTCTTTGTTTCTGAACTGTAAATGTTCTTCTAAGATGACGTTTCCTATTCGAGCTGTATCGATATATTTCTCAAAGAAGTTTTTTCTCGATCTCTCTAAAGCTTGATAATTTCTGAAATCAAAGTATCGCACTAAAAACCTACATAATGCATACAATGGTGAAATACTCCAGAAAAATAGTTTTTACCACCGTCATGATATTGCTACAGCAGTCAACACATTTTCTTGGTTATTTAAAAAATCTGCTGCTGTCACGTCATTTTCGTCATTGTCATCTCCATTTGGCATATAGGAAAACAAAGTAAACAGTTATTTTGATATTTATTGTCTTCTCTCATTGATCTATCAAGAGAACAAGATTTCGTTAATCGATTTGATCCTTATAAACTCTGATGTAATATTGTAAAGATAACATTTGCTTAAAAATGCAATGCATATTTTCTAACATTTATGTTGAATTATATTAAAATCTCCTTACCTGATCTGAACATCGTGTTATATGAAATAATCATGCTACATTACGAGTAATTATTTGTTTATATTCAAATAATATCTATTTATTCTGTATAGAACACTCCCTTTTTTTCTTTGATTGAACAAAATAATTTAACTTAAAATTATGTTTCAACCGCGTAATTTCAATCAATTATTTTCGTTTCTATATTAGTATCTTCTGATTGATATCAAGCGACATCTGATAAATATTTTATTTTGTTTTAAAACAGAGTGCGTTAATACAAATTCAAAATTCAAATAGATAAAACAATGTTACCACCATTAAAAACTTACAGATTTATTCCAGAAAAAAAAAAGAATTGATTAAATCGTTTTTTTTTTCAAATAACAATCATGTCATGAAAGTTATGCGTCTTGATATTACCATGAACTTGAACATTGTAGACAAAGAGAGAAAATGGTTACATCGAGCTACAATAGAATGAAACGAAGGAAAGAAAACGTACATAAGCCAAGTAAAAGCAAGAAAAGAAAAAGGCATATTGATCAATGTTGCCCGCTATTGGAGGAAGGAAGAAAAGAGAAAATTCAAAATAGAAACAGAACAGTGACATGCAAAGAAAAAGAACGGAGGGAAAAAAAGAGAAAAATAAATATAGAACACAACATGATCAGTCAAAGCACATACAATTTGAGTCAACAACAATAATGTCGGATAACGATGATGAACCACTTTTAAATATACCAGTTGAAAATTCATCAACTAATCGTCGATGTCCAACATGTCAAGGAACTGGTTCAGTAACTCAATCACCCGGTCTTGTTGCCTTAATTCCATTTGATGATGTACGACTAAAACGACGATATACATTATTATGGATTATACTAACAATTATTTTTTGTACATTTATTGCTTCAGCTGTCATTGCCGTCCTTCTTCCTCGTTCTGTACATTTATCAATACAAAATCCTATTGTTATTGATGCTACTAATGATACCTATAGAAATTCGACATGTTTTCATTTGAAATTTTATCATCATACATCTATTAAATCAGACAATTGGGTACCTATACGTTTAATTAATTTAACAACATCTGTTGAACATCAACTTCTACCTATTGGACCTGATGCTGAAATAGCTTATGGATATAAAATGTTTTTACGACCATTAGGTACAATTCAATCAAATATAACTGTTCAACTTGATTTTGATTCAGATACAATGGCTTATCGTGCATGTTATGGTATATTTCGACAAATGCTTATGTTTAAATTACAAACAACATTAACTTATGCTGATTTTCTTCTCGGTCGAATTCAAACAACAAATAATATATCTTATCAATATGTATTGTGTAATAGAGGAGAATGGAACATGTTATAGTGAATACGACTATAACATACTTACAAAAAATAAATTATTCATTTTAAGATATAAATAGAAAGAAAAAACAAGATTATTATCGCACAATCAAGAATGTATCAGATTGATTTTTTTTTAAATGTAATATTACTAAATCGGATTTTATATTCGATCAATATTTGCAAATAAGGTTTTATTTTCCTATTTAAAATTATTTTAAATACCTAACTCAAATCCAGATAGTGATTTTAACAAATAATAGATTTTTCTATCTAATGCGTTCTATATTAGAAGACCCATGATGTTAAGGTTTTCAAAAGTTCGAACACGATAGTTTTCAGATTGTAGAAGATGGAGCGAGCCATTATTTTCTTCAGAATTTTATGCTTTTTAAAACGACACTTAAAAAAAATAACTTCTAAAATCTGAAAACTATCGTTTCCAGATTTTTGGAAATATTAATATCATAGGTCTTCTAATATAGAACGGATTAGATAGAAAAATCTATTGTTTGTCAAAAAATCACTATCTAGATTTTAGCTAATTGCTGAACATTATAGAGAAAAAAATTGAAAATAATTTGTTATGCAACTTTTCCATATCACTTTATATATTGATAAACTCGAAAGAAATTATTCGAAGATGAAATGATTTATATATTAAAGCAAAGAATAGTTATTCTGTATATACAAATGAAAGAATTTATTGTTTATTTCAATGATTAAATATTAACTAATCATTTATCGATAGAAGATAAGTCTCGAAAAATTTCATTCAAGTACATACATTTGAACAAGTTCTATCAATAGATATCTATTTCATGAGTATGTGAACACGATAAAAGATGTACAGTGAATAAACTAATATAATTGATTTTTTGGTAGTTTTCTTTGCAATTCATCTAGCAGATTTGAAATTAAATTTACAGATACTATTTTGTTATTTCTGGTTTTAGCATTTTATTTCTATCATTAGTGTCTCGCTTTATTGATAAGTGGTTACCATTAAAATGATGATATCTATTGCAACGAATACATATTACATTTATCAAATATATCGTCTATGATTTTTATTTCTTATTAAAGCATAAAGGGTAATAATCAAAAATATAAATGACTAAATAGATAATAATCTGAAAAAATCAAACGTTTAGTTTTTATCAAAAAAATAGTTTTCAAGTATTCATTTAATTTCAATTGAGATTGTATTGGAGATAAAGAATATTTTAGTCAATACTTGATCATTGTTGTCAAATTCAATGAGATATTTACTTTTAAATCAAAATATTAAAAATTTTCAAATAAAATTGCATTTATTATAAAAGATGCTTTATATGGTCAAAAATATCGTAAGTTCTGCAAAACTTTTTTTTTGCCTATTGATGAAGAATTGTTATTATGTCTGAACAGAAAAAAAAACAAGTATCTTTGTTTTTCCTAAATTCACAATATTTTCAAAGGAATATGATGAGTGTAAGTTTAAGTGTAAAATTTTGCGACTTTTCGTCTTCCGTAGGCCCTAGCAATCGAAGGAAAGGAGGAGAAGGGTTGGATATGTTTTCATAGCAAGAGGAAAAAATGCTTCAGTAATAACAGTGCTTAGATCATTCTGTGCTTTTAAGATTTTTATTGTAGTTTTTAACTAGTTTAAATATTGCAAGTTTTGGTATTTAATGCAGCGAAAAGGTCTTATTGTAGGTGTCAATCAGTAGGCTGGTGGTGTTATTGATCTAGCAGAGTCAGAATAGAGCGCGGACATAGAAAAGTATAACTAATTGAATTCCTGAGTTTACGTCAAACTCAGCAGTAGTATATATCAAAGGTAATTTAGAACAAGGATGATGTGCTCAGAGATTAAATCAATATATATATATAGGAGACTAATTTAGTGGTTGAAACGATGAAGAAAATTATATCTGCCACTTTCTACAGCAAGTATAGTAATTATATATTGTTGTTAGAAGAAAAGGAGTTATATAGTGAAGATATATCTGATAATACAAAGTAGCTTTTTCAGTATAACAATGTTAAAGGAATCTAATAACTCTGGTAGGAATTCTGAATGTAGTGATTTTCGAAATGATAAAAATTTTAGAACTGTTATAAGTTTCATTTATTCGGCATTTTTTCTTATAAATAAATTGTTTTAATTCTTCTGACAATATATCATAAGTTTATTGCAGTCATAGTTTGTGAATTTCAAACCTTCAGAAATAATTCATGAAAAAGTTTGTTTTTATTATTGAACATTTTAAATACTTTTCAATCGGATTTATCAAGTGTTTGTTTATTTGTCAACGTTATAAAATGACTATTACTTAATTAAGTCATGAACAACCTTATAAGGGAACATTCTCAATTATCGAACGCCATTCTAGTTCATTTCTTGGTTATGAGTAGAACTCAGTTAAGATCTGAAAGTTTTGACATAGAATTTTCATTTTATCCACGAGATAGAGTCATATTCATTCAAGAAGGTTCAATTAATATTGAGATAATGTTCATTCAAGTCTATCATGTAACATCATAGTATAAGTAAACTTTTTCTTTCTTTTTTTTATAGTCACAGCAAGAAAAACATAAATTAATGTGTTGACTTCTTCGATGTATCATCGAGCATATCTCCATAATTTAGTGTAACATCGGTCGCCATTGTATTTGATGAGCATGATATAAAATTTTGAATTCTTATGTAAAAATGTTCGAATTCTCAGAAGAGAGATGCAATTAAGGTGATCATAGTCATGGTTGAGATAGAATATGAAAAAAATGGTTAAATCAGTTAATGCGATATTCACTACGATTGATGCTCATGTAGTTCTTAAGCAAAGACAAAAATATATTCTTTACTTATTTTTCCTTTCTACAGCAAGACTTAAATGAGAACGTTATCTCAAAATTGATCGAATCATCATAGAATGCATATGATTTGGCACCGTCTATCAAATGTTCAAATTTCAATTTCTTGAAATAAAGAAAGAAAAATCGAGAAAAAAATAAAAAAATTTCATATTCATGGTAACCAGATTTGCATCTAGACATATCATTAACCTGAATCCTTTTAAAGTTTTCTTAATCTCACTGAGTCTTAGTCATAGCCAAAATATGGACTCGAACAATAGTTGACAGTTGGATATATTGCCTTGTTAGTGAAGTAATATTTAACAGAGAAATGATACTTAAAGAAAAAAGAAGCATACTTCATAAAATATTTACTGTCTTATTATAGTCGCAAGTACTTTTGTCAATAAGTTCAAATATACAAAAGAGTTCGCTAACGACAAATAAACCTATTAATACAATATTTAGTAATAGGTTACATTTACCAGTATGCTGCAAGCACTTAGATAAGTGTGTGACGAGAAAAAAACAGATAGAAAATAAAAGAAAAAGAATTGCGCAGTCATGCAAAACGGTAGTAGTCATAGTCATATTCATTTGTAGAACAATACAAATTATAATAGTGCTATGTTCACGATATACTATGGTCGTCGTTCTTTAAAAATATTACTAATTTCAGTTATTTTGTCGCTAATTTTCGTTGTGGTTTTTCTTCTTCGTCAAAATATCTTTTCATTTAACCGATTTTTATATGGAACTTACTTTAGTCATTTTAATATGTCAAAGAAAGTGCCTAATCATATTACATTACAACCAAATCCAAGAACTATGTTACAAACTTCTTTTTCTTCAATCACAACATTACAGAAAACACAAAAAGGTGTTTTATCTTTAATCGAATTTGTTAATCCAGTTTTCTTAAACTTAGAATCTGAGTCATCGAATATCATACCAATTATAGTGTTATCGAATGCATCTAATATTGAACGACGTGATGCAATACGACGAACATGGGGATTTGATCAATCATATGGAAACACTACAATGCAAATCAAAGTATTTTTTCTTGTGGGTATCGATGATTTTATGATGAAACGTATACATGCAGAACAATTAATTTTCGATGATGTTATTCAAGTTTCTATTCCTGATATGTATTCATTTATTGCTTACAGAGAATTTTCTATAATGCTATGGGTAAAATTATATTTACCAAATGCACCATTCTATATTAAAACTGAAGATAATGTTATTATTAATATGAAACTTATTATCAATACATTCTTACCAACTATTGAACATACTAGAAATGAAAATGTAGTCATTGGTTGGTTTGGTTCAGAACATTCTGTTCCGAGAGGTCTCTATCAAAAATTTATCGATGCTGTTTTACCACCATCAACTGTTGATTTACATTATGCTATGAGTTTATTATATGTTGTAACATCAAGAGCTTCTGATCGTATGCTTGATGCAATAAGTCATGTCAATCTTATTGAACATCCAGGTGATCCATTTGTAACAGGTATTCTTCGAGATGCTGCTCATGTTCAAATGAAAAATTTAGCAACATCTCCTGAAAATTATAGATATGAATTGACTAATGCAGCATGTGGAAAAGCACTTGAAAAAAATTCAAAATTATTAATGTGTACACCATTACTATCTGTTCATTCAATACAAGAATATTTTAACGCATGGAATATACTTCTTAGTCAAAATTAAACAAATGTTACTTGTAGGATACAAAAAATTAGCGATATTTGCAGATACAAACTCTACAAAATAGACTCTATCAAGTTTTTACTTCAGTAAATATTAGGTTCAATAATCATAAATACTTATGTATAATTAAATCGTTTCAACAAATTTGATAAAGATTCTTTTCGAATAATCATCAACTATTATAATAAATAGATTATGGTGGTTAACAACCGTTACCTCCACTTGTCATTAATAAAAACTGTTACATAGTGGAGAGATTAAATTGTCACCTTTCGGTGTAGCATGAAGACCAAAACTTACAATAAACATCTGAAAAAAAAAATTAATAATAAATAAATACAAGTTCTTTTAGTCGATTTTCTAGTTCTTTCACTGTTGAGCACTAATATTTGTGCCTATTATCTGAATGTAACCTTCAAATCACAAGAGAAATGTTTCAATTGTACCCATAAATTTACACAAGATATTGTTGACTACACATTCTTTGGCATTGCTTACAGATACAAACCTTTTGCACATGGTTTTACATAGACATTGGTATAATATTCATGATTAACAGTTTGCCTTATATTTTCTGATAGCATCTATTTAATTACTCTAAAAAAGGATCCAAAACAATATTTTGATACTATCTTTCTGTATTAAAGTTGATCTTATGTAGACTATCTGTTTGATGTCCTTTTGTTTCATTAAAATGAGCCTCTTTATGTACGATAAATATTGAAATCACCAGGTATGCAATGATGACGATCAATCATTGGTTAATCGTCACATCGATTATCGTCTCTGTTCCATTCATCTTATTCTATCGTTTCGTGTATTTGTCATTTTTTTTTTCATCGGTACACAGTGGGAAATATCTATCAAACACGTGGATATGACTTATTTTATGCCAAAAATTAATTTTTTTTTTCATAGAAATATTAGCTTCTTGTACTCAAAAATAGTCTTCAAGGAGAAAAAAGATCATTTGTGATGGAAAATTCCTGAGGGAAATCCTTATTCTAAACTCTCGAAAAAAAGATTTTCGTTTTAAAAATTGAGAAATGGCAATTCGCGCAAAACTTTTAAAAATCAAGGGTTCAATAAAATCTGTATCTCAATTCAAAAGTATTGGCGTTAATTGAGTATATGTCCCAGATATAGAAGAATATTCTGTGAAAGTTTCGTCGATATCGAATTAGTGACAACAAGTGACGGTGAACTTAATTGAAAACGTTTTTTCAAAAAATGAATAATTAAATAGAAATTTATGCCATAAGATTTGCAAAGAGGATAAAATTGTAGATATAATCAATTTCTGAAATACTTTCAATTAGACCAAAAAAGCAAATATTTTGTTGAGGAAATTTTACACCAATCATTTTATAGCAATTGATTCCAAAACTAGTCGTTCATAATGTTTTCACCACTTTCACAAATAAAATACTCTTGAACGTAATCAAAAGTCTTTTGATTATTGTATGTTCTATTCCATATGTAATCATAGAAAAAAACACAATAAAGTTTCTCTCCAAAAACTATTCAAATCAAGAATAAGATGTTCAATTATAAATATGACTTGATAAGAAACCTTATATTGTTCATTAAATATTTTACATACATTCATAAAAAGATAGAAAAAAAAAACCAAGGAAACACATTCACACATACAACAGTAAGAAAAATGACAATTATTAAACTTCAATAATTTCCTGTTCAGCAAGCCGAGCCATCATCATTGTAGATGATTCATTTCCTGTAATGTTCGCCGTAGGCATATGTGCAAATGTTTTCAAGGTTCGCGATACACTATTTGGAGATGATAATGATAAATCTTGATGAGTTGGTATTGATGATGAAAAATACGTAACAGCTATTAATTGATTATCGGTTGAGGAACTAACATTAGTTGGACTTGCGGGTAAAAGAAAACGTTGCTGATCTATATTTGATGATGTTGTTTCATAACCACTATCACGTACATGAGGATATGATAATGTTCGAGAAATATCTGAATGACGATTATCACTCAGAATATCATATGTATTATGATTTGAATTTAATGTAAATGTTTTATATTCATTTGATATTTTTACTATTGATGAAGACTTTGAATCTAATTGATATAAAAGTTGCTAAAAATAAAAATTTCATTTTTGTTTTTTACATTAATATATCCATCAACTAATGTTTTATGTCTGTTGATTAGAATAGATTGAATGAAATCGGATACTATTCGAGATGTCTCACACTTTTACATCATCATACACGTTAATATCCTATGGCATCTGAACGGCTTAATCGATTCATGAAATATACAGACGATGCATTACTTATTGCAATATACATCTCAAAGCATATTTATCTTCTTAAAAAAATCGTTTGTTACTATTATAAATTATGTACATTCAATATATATTTGTCACGATTACATGTAGATTTGATTATTCTATTGGGAAAAACGAGATGCTAGCCGTTTTGTGACATTAAATGGATAATCAAATTTATCTTATTAATTCTTTCTTCTCTATTTCTTGTTCACACTTGACAAACTAAGAGGCAGTTTTTTTTTCTCATTATTCTCGCTTCGTTATCATTTGACATTTCTTTATTCATCAACAAAGACACTAGTTAAATGGGTTTTTAATTAAAAAATGTCATCGTTATCATTCTGTTATGAATAGTGACGAAGACATTGGCATGAATTAATGCGCCATTGAACAATGAATACAAAGCAAAGGTACCATATGGAAATAGTATTAACGTGTATTCGTACAAATTTTTTTTTTCTATGCATCATCTGTTCTTTTATATTCATCGCTTTTTTTTTTGTTACCTGCTGTTGTTCATCATTTTCAAGCGAATGATTGACATTTTCATCTTGAGATGATTTGCTATTTCCCGTAATATTCAATGATGATGTTAATGATATTTCACCTGGTCCATTATCAAGTAAAGGTAATTGAGTTTCAGTTGGACCTTGAAGACGATATAGTGTATGCGAATCATTTCTATTTTTTCGTAATTTTCGTTGATGACATGAACTTGATGAAAGATAAATAACTCTAATTGAAATTAAACTAATAATAATTGCAATTGATAATAAAATAATAACAAATATAACATTAAGTAATGTTAAATTAAAATATGAATATGAACGTCGAGATATTAAATAAAGTGCTTCTAAATATTCACGTGCTGTATCAATAGCTACTGTTTGATTTGTTTCATTTGTACCAATTGTTAAAACTAATTGAACATATCGAATACATGATTGATCAATAGTTTCATTTATAAGATCACGAAGACGAAATTGTAATATATAATATTCACGTTCAGGTAATATATGTGCATATAATATAAATTGATTACGTTGAATGAATTCAATTTTAAATATATCATTAAAATTAAGTAATTCAATTGTACATGTATCATTATCACCATCGAATAATTCTAAATAATATTGATTAAAATTTTCATTTGAATTATTAAACCAAAGATCAATATTAAAAAATAAAGCTGTTGAATTATTAATTAATTCAGGACAAAAATCATTACGATTTAAAATATGAATAGTTACAGGTACACTTGTATTAAGATCATCATTATCAATAGCTAGTATTAAAAATTGATAGATTGAACAACGTTCATAATCAATATCTAAAAAAAAAAGAAAAGCAATTATTCGAAACAACAAATTATTAAACATGTATTTATTTACCAACAGATGCACCCTTTAGATATAATGTGCCATTTGTTGTCAATTCAAATGGCCATTCATTTGTCATTGTCATATCATTATATACTAATTTATAAGTTAATTCACCATAGTTCTCATCAGCATCCGTTGCATGAACATGACCGATCGGTGAAAGATTAGACCATGTTTCAGGTATTTCAAATACATATTCTGATAAATCAAATATCGGATAATTGTCATTTATGTCAATTAAGTTGATTATACAACGAACTGTCGATGATAAAGGTTGAGGTTGCCCATGATCAGATGCAATAATATCAAATTCATAACTAGATTGTTCTTCTCGATCAAGTTTACCAATTAGACGTAATTCGCCTGTAGATGAGTTTAATGAAAATATTGTTTCATTACTTAATTGATATTCAATTTTACTATTTAATGTATTTTCTTCATCGGCATCTGTAGCATGAAAATGAAGAATAATTGTATCTATTGAAATTGTTTCTGTTATATTAATTGAATAAAATTCTTTATCAAATATTGGTGCATTATCATTTTCATCCAAAATTATTAAAGTAAAATTTAATATACTTGTAAGTGATTGAATACCATGATCATGTGCTTTAAGACGAATATCATATTGTGATTGTTCTTCACGATCAAATATGCGTGCAGTAAACATGAGAAAAGCTTCGTTATTAAATAACTCTTTAATAGAAATTGATCCATTACTCTCAAGTGACCAACTTACTAGACCATTGTTATCACTATCGAGATCACTGATTGAGATATGACCCTATTGAAAATAGAATTAAAAAAAAAAAACAATTACAACTAACTCTTGTTTTTTTTAATATAAATCGAAAAAACTTAAGGTTAAAGATAAATCATGCGAACACGCACATACAAATGTTTCTATTGAGAATTACAAGAGAGAGAAAAGATTAATTTTCAATCAAGGTTAAAAAATGACAATAAGAAAAACTCTTTTTTTGGTCACGCATATCAAAATAAAAATCACTTACTAAAAATGTTCCATTTAAAAGATTTTCACGAATTGTAATTATACTACTGTTTAATATATGTTCAACACCTGAAATTCTATCATCATTAAATGTTGGTGTAATTAATGGATAATTATCATTTTCATCTTTTATATCAATATAAATCATAGCAAATGCTGGTATTGAAACTTGTTGTGGTCCATTATCTTGTGCTTTTATTTTTATTCGATATGATTTTTCTTTTTCATAATCAAGAGATTTACCGAGATGTATTTCTCCTGTTTCTTTTGATAATATAAATGTTCCATTTGATGGTGGATCTAATGAGACAATTGTATAATAAATAAGACCATTAAGACCAGCATCTCCATCAAATGCATGTACACGTGCAATAAATGTACCAATTGATGTTGATTCACTTAAAAGTACATTTATTTCTGAACGATCAAATATTGGTGACATATCATTGACATCAAGAATATTTATATAAATATTTAAACGACTTATAAGTGCTTGTGGTTGTCCACCATCATATGCTTGTATAATATATTCTAAAGAATGATATAATTCTCGATCGAGTATTTTAATAAGACGTAAAGCAAGTAAATCATTTTTTTTTGTGTATTCAATTTGAAATGCATTAAGAATCTTATTTGTTGAATTATCTTCTAAAAGAGTATAACCTTGAATTGAATTATTTCCATAATCAAGATCAATAGCAATATCAATTGGTATTAAATAACCAATAGGTACATTTTCTAAAATATCAATTATTATTGAAGATTTTGAAAATTGTGGCGAATGATCATTACGATCATCAATAATAATAGATAAATCATTAAAAAATATTTTTCCCATATTAACACATAAAACTTCAAGTATTATTTCACATTTTGAACATGAACACATACGACGAAGACAAAAATCATCACGATCAATTAATTTTTTTGTTGTTATACGTCCCGTATATGGATCAATAAGAAAAAAATCATTTGAATTTTTTTGACTATCAACAAAACGATATGTACCAGCATTATTTATTGTTTTACAACCATCTGTTGAAAATGTATATATTGATGTACCAATTGGTAAATCTTCCATAATATGTATTGATTCTTTTGGTATTGTAAACACCAAATAAAACATATGAAGAAAAATTAAAAATTGAATCATTTTTCTATTTTGTTGTAATTACTTGGCTAATTTAAAAGAAACAAATATAATTATTATACTGTACTATTACTGTTTGCATGTGAATAGAAACAATCTGTAATAGCAAAAAGAAAGAGAAGGATTTCCTCATTAATATACGACATATTGAACACACATACATACAGACAGAATAGAGAGTAATAAGAATGAGAGAAGAGAATTAACACTTAGTCTCATAGTAGTACTATCGTGATGAAGGAGGAGAAGAAAAAGAAAAAAAAATCATTCTCGTTGAGTTTTTTTTTCTGGCAAAAAAAAAAGAGAGAGAGAGAGAAGTATAGGAAAAGAGTAAGGACGTGTGGAATATGAATAACTGACCGGTGTCTTGAAAAGAAAAGTGAGCCTTGTCACCCAACCATTATGTCTAATGGATGGCTGATTACCTCTCTTTTCATTTCTTGCTAGTTCCTCTCATTAAGCTCGACTTACCTTTTTCCTACTTTTTTTTTAAAGTTTATTTCTCTCTTTTCTTTTTGTGCTTTGACTCATCATCTTTCCATTGAATCTGTAATCAAATCCAAACAAAAAGTAAAAATGACAGCACACATTCACACGATCCATCATTGAGTACTGCGTGAAGGACATGAACAATGTTATTAGATAGCATGAATGTGTACATATATGACTGTCGAATAAGAAGATGTTGATTGACATAATATGATCAATTCAATGAACATAAGAAAAGTCACACCTTTATTAACTTTAGCAATCGCCAACGATATGAATGTTGAAGTGTTTCATGTAGATTTTTGTCTATAGATTGTTTATTTTCTCATTCTTTTCTTTGTTCCTATTATAAGACTAACTTATGATGGTCATCAATTGAATAGTTAGAAGAGAGAACATACAACAGATGGATTTTATGCATGAGATGAGCGATTATCATCATACATAGAATAGGCCAATATATCAAATCGAAGCAATTGGCACTTGAAAAAAAAAAGACATATAGCAAAAAGTATCAGCCTCCTGCCTACGATGGCCGCTCTCGAGGTGATTACGTAAAAAAGAAAAGAAAATGAAGAAAAAAAGAAATCTTCAACAATGATAATTGCTAGTCTGACTATGTATGACGCAAGAATATAAAATAAAACATCAATGTAATTTTCATATGCTTATGCATGTGCGCATATATCCGTTGTTGTCTTTTTTAATGCAGGTGAATGCCTTGATTTTTATCTGATGGAATACATATGTCTTCATTTGTTAATTCGAGACAATGACATGAATACGTTCATATAATGACGCAACATACGTATATATATGTGTGTGTAGAAAAGAGAATCATGATCATGTCTTTTGTCTATCAGTGGGGAATTGAATAATGCTTGTAAAAATACACACAATATTAGAAGCAATAGTACCATCATAATTGTTATTGGAACTGTTTGTCCAATTGTGTCTACCATTTTCTTCCTTATACACATTATGATTGTTCATTCATTTTTCTTTAACATAGCAAATAATGTCGGATACATGACGTTAATGATGTGTTTTCACGGATTTGCTAGCCTTCGTCATTATTACCATCGTTTATCTTTCATATTGATATATAGCCTGGCTATTTCTAATTACGACATAACGTGCTTACGGGCGGTGTAACAGATGTTTTGAACACATACTATCAATGAAGGACAAAATAAGAAAAAGGTTTTTTCTCTTCTTTTATGTGTATATACAGTGTGTTTTTCGAGAGATCGAAGACTATGGATCACTTGTCTTGTGTACAATCAAGATTGTGACAAGTTTTTCAAGAGTAGCTTTTTATACTCTCACTTGTCATACATATATATATATATATACACCTATTTTTTTTTCATTATATCAATACACTTCACACTTGCATGCTGATACATTATATATGTATATATACATATATACAAAAGTCTATATTCTTGTCATTTTGACAGTTCAAGACTGAATAAATGAGTGAAAGTGAACATGCATGATGTCGAATCTTATGTAATCATTGTTTTTATTCCATGTTTTTCTATATGACAAGGTGAACAAACATGCTGAGTCAGTATCTTATGTTACTCACGTCAATGCTAGAATGTCTCATGAGAATAAGTGAGAAAAAGCTTTTTGTTTTATTTGGCATTGAACTTTGTTCTCTCGTCTATCCATGAGAAGATTAGTTTCAACAAGTAATTGCTTAAACAGTCAATACCATATATGAAATTGCAAGCGCATACGCATTTCCTGTCACTATTTTTGTACATTATAGAAACACCGAACAGTTACCGGCGGCGATTAAGGGAAATGGAAAAGTTTTTTTTGTATGAAATATTACGATGAAAAAAAAAACATGACTATTTAAAATACATAGACAAAGTAAAGTATAGCAGGAAATGATAGCCAATTGAGGAAAAAAACAGATTATGTTTATTAGTATTTGTTGATTTATTAAAACTAGAATTTTTTCCTTTTGTGCTTATCGATTGAATTACTTGTGAAAAGTACTCGAGCATAGTGTCAACCCATTTAATAATAGTAGTTCACTTTTTTACATTAAAATAATGAATGACAGGTCAAGCAAAAGTAGAACTATTATATAATAACTATAATTGAAATCAGTCAAATGTACTTTTATTAAAGAAAAAATTTACTTTACTTTTTATTATTCACAATGTTCCCTATAATAAGATTGGTTTTATTAAGAAATAGACATTTATAATGTCCTGTCAAATAAATATTCTATCACTGTCACTAGCTATTTTCTAAGATATAAAAAAAAAGAAAAAAAAAAAACAATAAAAGCTAAAGGATAATTTATTTATTAGATAGATTTTTTCCGGCTTTTGACTGTTCTATTGTATTTATGATTCATACGATGAACAGTAACATCATCGATTATGTCATTTTTCTTCAAAAAACAAACAAAGAAATATTTGACTTGATGCTTCGCATTTTTCTATATTATATTCAAGCTACATTAGCACATGCATCTTTCATTAATCAATTAAGGATATATAGACGATTGATATATTCAATATATGCCTTTCTAGAATTCGTCAGAAATATTGAAAACAAATCTTTTTCAAGTCAAGAAAAAAACAATGAACTCTAAAAAGATTATCATAATAGTCTTTTAGTGCTTGAAAATCCAATTTATTTTGAAAAGTTTGATTGAAACTTGAAATAAAAAACAGCTGCTAAAACCATACCTAACTTCTTTCTTTCTAATGTCTATAAACCTGCTATTATATTGAATTGATCCACAAGCTTTCTCTTTTGTTTTATTTTGAACACAAAATGTCTTTTTTTTTTTTTTTTTACACACAAAATCGAATATGATATATGATGAATGTCTTTATTGTTATTCTATATTAATGGCGATAACTCTTTTGTTGATTACGACTTGACAAATTAGCGGGTGAACGAGATCTAATTAAGAGAGTAAAGAAAAAAAAACAACTTCACTATTAAATTATTTTAAAAAAATATATAAAACTACCTTGATCGTCGTCGTTCATAATAATCATCACTTCGTTTTGAACTAAGTGGTGAACTTGAACGTTTATGTGTACTTGAAGAAAAAAAAAAATAAGAAAATCATACAGATATTTTTTTTTTTGAGATATTTACGATTTTTTATCATATGATGAACGACGATGACCATTACGTGATGATGAACGACTTCGACGACTATCCGATGATGCAGAATTTGAACGAGAACGTCTAGAAAACAAAAACTAAATTTCAATTTATAACTATAAAATAAAATTCATCTACTAACGAATTTTGTCTTCCACGACTGCTACTAGATGATTTTTTATAACTACTTGATGAACTTGCTTTTTGATGTTTTTTATTATTTTCATCTTCATCACCACTGTCTAATGCATACTAAAATCCAATAAAAAAAAATCATTAGAATTATTTAAAAATCTTTCTATTATTATACTTTTGAAGCATCAAAATCTTCTTCTTCTTCATCATCATCATCAACACCACCACCTTTTTCATCATCGTTCTAAACACAAAATATATATAAAAATCATATGTTCTTTAAGAAAAAAGAAAAACTGTAAATCTCTAAAATACTCACTGTACGAATATTACCTCTCCCAACGATCGCGATTTCGGATTAGTTGTACTTCGTTTTTTATCACTTGATTTTTCATCGTGATCTTTTGTTGTATTACGAAATTTCTTTTTCTTACGTCCAAACTAAAATAATAAATTATACAACTTATCTATCAAGATAATTCTATTTACTTCATCATATTCGCCATCTGATTCATCATGACGTTCATTATATTCAACATTATCACGTTCATTATATCCACCACCAGCACCTTTAAATTTTCAAATAACTTTTTTTTTTTTTTTTCTCGAAAAAATTTATTACCTGTTCGTGCTTCAGCCTTTTGAAATTTTGGCATATTACACATATTACAAGTCGTTCGACGTGCCCAATTAATATTTCCACAACTAAAATATGAGAGAGAAATTATACAGGAGACTATTACTAATCTAATAATAACCTTTTACACATCCAATCTTCAGGTGAAAAAAGACCACCACTTTTTTCAGCTACTTTTTTACCAATACCAGATAAATCTTTTGAACTTGATTTTGAATGACGTTTGCTCGATGCTGAATTGTTTTTTTTATAAATAAATAAATATTAATATTTTAATAGTAATAAACTTACATCGATGAGAATGACTGCTACCGCTATCATCATTATGACTATTTTGTCTTTCTCGAGACGATGGAACATGCAATTCATCATCATCTCGATCATGATCACCGTGATCGCTCATTTTAAATGTTAATTTGCTAAACTTTAGTCTGTCAATGTGCCAAACTGATGACCACTGAAAAACAAGGGCAAATGATAATTTGTTGTGGTTATAAGACAAATCATAATGGAGTGTCAGATGATGATTTATAATCATTTTTAAAATGTTTAAAAATAGTTTTTTGATTAATTAAAATAAATAAAATAAATAATTATATTTAATTTGTTGTTCTATGATTTTATATCAATCGTAAAGCAGAACCATCTATCGGAAATATTGATCGATCGAAAAAAAAATCCTTCGTTCTCATCCCAAAGCTATTCAAATGTTAAAATTGATTACAAGCCAAATGACCATAACATGAGAATTATTCGTTTCGAAATTGCAAACAAAAATTTACTCCATCAATTATAGGAATAGTTTTTCAATGGCAATCCTGATCATTCATATGATAAAATACGACCATCTACAATTATTGTAAACCTCAGTTTACGACCGTAGAAACGTCATTTCTCGCCATGAATGCTATTTTATTCCATCATTCCTGCTGACAAATTATACTCTTCCGTAAAAATATACGTATGATTGCCCTTACATTGAAAAAATTAATGGTAACCTAAATGAATTTTTCCACTCAGTTTTTCTCTTTAGGGATAAATACATCAGTTCAAGCATTGGTAAGATTACATGAATTTTTAGTGGAATTTTTTCTTTTTGAATATTTCTATTGAACAGTTTTTTGGTTACAGTAAACAAGTTAAAAAAAATTCGTTTAATCTTACCAAAAAACTATTCAATAGAAGTATTCTTACAGAAATTATAAAATATTCTTTTAAAAATTCATTTAATTTTACTACTAAATTGTTCAATAAAATAATACCTAAAGAGACAAAAAAAAACAGAGTTCTTTTGAGACATTGAATAAATCTTACCAACAAAATGTATTAATAAAAGTGCTTCTAAACAAAATAAATTTTAAATTGAATTAATCCTACTAGAAAACTAAATTAATTTTAAAATTCAATTAATTTCATCACTAAATTGATCAAGAAAGTTGCTCATAAAAAAATTCTTTTGATAATTTATTTAATTTTACGAGAGTTAATTCTTCGATAAAATTAATCTAAAAAAAAAATATTGAATATATCGAACGTAAGTTATTACTGAATTATATTATTGTTTGAAAGGTAAAGAATTAAACTTATACTTCAAAAGTCTATGTTATTGTTAAGATTTCATTTCCAGTGATCAAGATTAATGTTACGAAAAATTGTAAAACACTCACACTAACGAGGAAACATTCCCAAGTGATACGCACCATTTGGGTTCATATTGTGCTCATAAGTAGGACCCAATAAGACTAGAAAAAGCCTAAAAGAGTTCGTGCCATTAGGCCTTTCTTTCAAAGTTATGAC